ACGGTTAGCACAGACTCAACCGACGGTTAGCACAGAGTCAACCGACGGTTAGTCAACCGACGGTTAGTTTTAGCCTGTCGGTATTTGGTCGCCATAGCAACCCACAGACACAGCTCCGTTAAGTCCACCGGTCAGAGGCTCAGAGACAAACTGACGGTTGTCGGTAGCTTCCCCGTTGCTAACGTTAGCCAGGTTGAGTTAATCCTCCGTCTCCATGGAAACCCGCTGACACAACGGACGTCAACTTACGTTAGCGATGTTTTTTCTCAAAGACTTCGCTAAAAAAAAACATTTATTTCACTTGAAAACACGACGTGTGTCTGTTCCACAGCCCGACAGAGCAGAAATAATTAATTAATTAATCAATAATCGATATTTTCCAGAGTTAATCCACCGGAGCGGCTGCTTCCTGCGAGCTCGAGCTACAGGTGGGTGTTGCCTTCAGGGTCTTCTCAAAAACTCCGTATTATTCCCCTTCGTGTTTCAAAGCTCGTCCTTGCGATATCAACGAGATACCTGTGATTCCTTGAATGTTGAACTTTAATATATAAATATAGATATCGATCACACGACCACCAGATACTAACTCTAGCCACTTTTCAAATTCTGTCATCGGTTTTTAATTGTAGCTGCAACTATTGTGTTATCGGATCGAGGCGGTTGTAATGTTTCCGACAGTCCTGTAAGGCAGCAGTGTGTAGGATTGTTACCGTTCACAGTCAGTGGGGATCAAACTTATTGATCCATTATCTTTAATCTTTCATTGTGTACTGACATAGTGATGTTTGATCCAGTACAGGATTTAAATAAAATGGAAATTGAAGCTTCAGTTTGGATCAATGACCTCAGGTGAGTTATAAAACCCAACATATCATACAACACGGGACCCTTTAATGTTATATTTCCCCCAATGTAGATTAGGTTGTATAGATTATACAGTAATAATGATAATATATCAGTTACACACTGAGAGTTTATCTGACTTTTATTGGCAGGTTATGAAACAATTTGTAAAAGAAGAAATAAAGTCTGTTTCCATTTGAACTGAGAGCCAACAACATTTCCTGAGCAGAGGAAGCAGCGTCTGTATGTCCTCCTCTGAAATTGAAAAGTTATTTGGAGTCAGGACAGCTGGATAACTGCAGTTCCAGAGCGAGGTCGTCCAGCTGTTTGATGTACTCGTGACAATCCGGAGAGCTACAGTCTGTGGGCCACAGCTCCACCAGCGCCTCCGAGTCCATAGGAAGGCGATACCTGCGGGGCAGAACACACAGCGCCGCTCAGAGTTGCATCAGACCCGAAGGACTACAGGTGAGGGAGTGATAGAGAGACACTCACGTTAAGCCACTGCTGAGAGTGACCTCTGACCCGCTGGCTCCCAACACCAGGTACTGTTTGTTGTTCTGGATGTCAACAGCACTGCAGGTGATCTTTCTTATGATCTCTACCTGTGTCCCTGAACTCACCGCCTCGAACTCTGCAACACACAGGAAGAGGAAACACAAAGTAACACAACCTGTACTCAGATACTTTACTCTATTACAGTATGTACATTAAGTATGTAATCAGCCACTAAAATCTGTCATAATGAAAATCATAAAAATGTTTCCACTAATCACGACTGTCTCTCCTTTTCCTGGGATTTACATTCATACACTGATATTTATGGCAGGGAAGGTTTCTTATAAAATGTGTAAAATGTTGTTAATAACTATAAAATAGACTTTAAATGATTCTGGCTATTCAAACTAATGCAAAGACATCAGACTGCACTCATTCATGTCCCATTAATGCATGTTACTAACTTCACTTCTTCCCCGGAGTTCTTGTGCTTTCTCGTCTCGCAGGTTCTTATCGATCCTGGTGGAGCCTCCTGCCATGGTCCTGCTAGATTGCCATTGCCAATACTGTTGTTGCTGTGCACCTGTCTGTCTGTCTGTCTGTCTCTCTCTCTCTCTCTCACCCCAACTGGTCGAGACAGACGACCACCCACCTAGAGCCGGAGGATCTGTCCTAGGTTTCTGCCTTTTAACAGGCAGTTTTTCCTTGCCCTTGTCTCCAAGGTCTTGCTCATGGTGGTACTGTTGGGTCTCTGTAAATAATGTTATAAGGAGTTCGGTCTAGACCTGCTCTATTTGAAAAGTGTCCTGAGATAACTTCTGTTAGGAATTGGCGCTATACAAATAAAATTGAATTGAATTGAATTGAATTCTCTCAGCGCCCTCCAGCGTACCTGTAACCAGCTAAATGTACTTAAAGCATTAAAAGTAGATGAATGTCCTCAGTGACTGTTACTGTTTATATACAGAGGAGGTTCCTGAAGTGAAAGAACACGTACTGTAAATGTAAAACCTGCAGGTAAAAGTAAAAGTTCTCATTCTTAACTCAACAAAAGTGATAAAATAAAGGCACAGAAATGTACTTAAAGTATAAAACTTCAATGTTTAGAAGTATAAAGTACTCTCTGTGTCTCTGAAGGATGTTTCAACAACTGTTTCTGTGTAAATCTGAAACTACAGACCGGGTGGAGTCTCCCTCTCTGTCCTGTGTGATATGAACCGGTCTTTATGTTGCCAACCCACGGCGGCTGCAGCAAAGACTCAACCTACCAGCTTTTACAATTCACACTTATATTTATATAGTTCATTAAAGGAGGAGAAAACTTGTTCCCACAGTGTGTGTGATTATGAAGGCGTCACACGCTGTCACACTGACCTTTTCCTTTGTTCTTCAGGACCTCAACTACGGTGGCTTTGTAGGTCATAAAGTCTCCTTCTGCTGCTGCAGACGTCACTGTCACCTTGTAGGCTGCAGAGAGACGCAGTGAGAGTTACTAACACACATCAGACTGACCTTACATCCACCTGCAGCTCCCACTTTCTCACCGTATCGGATGTACGCCCGGCAGATCTCATCGAGGCGTTTGTCTACAGTCAGAGTCAAATCATTGGTTCCTCTGTAGGTGGCGCATGCAGCTAAACAACAACAACAACAACAACAACAACGTATACAGTGTTACAACAGACGTACAACACGTAACATCAACATCATCATCATCATCACAACACGTAACACCACACGAAATCTGACATCAGCCAATCAGAAGACAGACGTTACCTGTCATGCACTGACACTGGTCGCCCACACAGAGGCGCTGCAGAGCCTGCTCCTGGTAGGAGAACAGTTTGGTGCACATGCTGCCTGCAGGAGAACACATAGTGAGTCCACTGACACCTTTTATAAACCACCAGAGCTCACACTGAATATCTCCTGCTGACGGCTCTGATCAATAAGGTTTGAGAGCTCAGAGGCAGGAAGGAGTGTGTGTTGTAATCTTTAGATTGAACATGATACATCAGTTTTTATCTCTTCCTGGCCTTAACAGGCTTCCATATATCTGATAAAGACTACAAGTCCCAGCATGCATGGCGGGTCACGACTCTCACCTCTGTCCTGAGGCTCATAGACGCTAAACAGGGACTCGCTGGCCCCGGTCACCCTGAACCTGGTCCTGATCCGAAAACCAACACACAGGAAGACTTCTGAGGGCACCTAGCAACCAGACAGGAAGTTATCATAGGGAGCCTAGCAACCAGACAGGAAGTTATCATAGCACAGAGACAAATCAAACAAAAATGACTAATATGGGAAAACTCTGGAATTACGTCACAAATCACATAAACTTTAGGAACATTAAGGCTTTTTTATAATATTTGATTTTACAGAACAATAATTGTTATGTTGTTGTTACGTATTGTATGTTCTCAGATTTTCAGTGTAAGGATGTTTGCAGTGGACTTTGAAGCTGTTTGTGTTACTCACAGTGTCCATATAAATGACCACAGTGTTTCCCTGGAGCTCGTAGTGGGAGATGATCGGCTCGTCTGTGTCTCTGAACTGTAAAACAACAAATCAGTTCCAGTATGGACGTATAAATGCTCTATCTGGTATTATAATAGCTATATCTCCTGTATAATATGTTAATATCTCCTGTATAATATGTTAATATCTCCTGTATAATATGTTAATATCTCCTGTATAATATGTTAATATCTCCTGTATAATATGTTAATATCTCCTGTATAATATGTTAATATCTCCTGTATAATATGTTAATATCTCCTGTTTAAATACTATATTTGGTGTGCTGCTTTAAAAGAGTGACAGTATTCGTTTTCACTCTTTCATTCACTCTGTTTCTGGTTTTAAAGCTCACCTGTTTCAGATCCTCCAGGTAAGCATCTACACCTGTCGGCAGCTGGATCTTCATCAGTGTCTGCGTGGACTCTGTCAGCAGCTCGTTAGGAGGAGGTTTGTACCTGAAACATCACATTTCACATTTCACAGGTCTGAAAAAGCCTCCAGGTAAGAAGATAAATGCTTTAATATTCATGCTGAATGTGTAACGTTGGGTAATATCTGAGTGGCGGCTGACTCAGCACGCCGTCCACTCATCAGCACGCTGTCGGTTTCTTACTTTGCACAGGCGACCAAGTGAGGAGACCGCAGACTGGGATCTGAGGAGGAGAAGAAGACATGTACTCTGGTGACAGACAGACAGACAGACAGGCAGGCAGGCAGGCAGACAGACATATAGGCAGACAGACAGACAGGCAGGCAGGCAGACAGATAGACAGATAGACAGACAGACAGGCAGGCAGGCAGGCAGGCAGGCAGACAGACAGACAGACAGACAGGCAGGCAGGCAGGCAGACAGACAGATACAACATGCACCAATGTCTGTACTTCTTGAGGAGACGGCCCCTCTAACATCCTGATCTATATAAGATGATATTAGAGAGTATTTTTATATTATATTCTTTATCTAATTAAATACTTTAATTATCTCAATAATGTTATATAACATATAATATATATATATATAATAATAATGTTATATAACATATAATAAATAAATATATATATAATAATAATGTTATATGTTAAAGAGTTTGGTCTAGACCTGCTCTATTTGAAAAGTGTCCTGAGATAACTTCTGTTATGAGTTGGCGCTATACAAATAAAATTGAATTGAATTGAATTGAATTAGATAAAATATAATAAATATATATATAATAATAATGTTATATAACATATAATAAATAAATATATATAATAATAATGTTTTAACATATTATATATATTATATATAATAATGTTATATAACATTAATACTTATTATTATATTTATCTACATTATTATATATATATATATATATTAAATAATATATAGTAATAATGTTATATAACATATAATAAATAAATATATATATAATAATAATGTTATATAACATATAATAAATAAATATATATATAATAATAATTTTATATAACATATAATAAATAAATATATATATATATATAATAATGTCATATAACACACACACATATATATATATATATATATATATATATATATAGTAATAATGTTCAGTTTGTGTTATTTATTATTAAGTAATAACTTTATATTATTATAAATTATTATTATTAACTAATATGGGAGACTGTGAGTAGATATGAGGACTTACTGGTGTCGGGGCCCGCCACCTCTATGCTGATATCAAAGTTACATGACCCTGAGGACGTGGTGGTCTCGTAGTAAACCGTCTTCATCTGGAAAGACAGCGAGGGACAGTCAAAGTGCATTCTGGGAGTTAAATGTGAGACAGTTCACTGTGTTCAACCCACTTTCACTACCGACACGCCCGACCCGTAACCCTTCACGGTGATGACGCCATTCGTCACCTGGGAGAACAAGCAGGAACATGGTTATTAACCACAGCAGACCTGTCTCTGTCTCCTGAGTCTGTCTCACTGTCCTCCACCTGTCTCGCCCTAACCTCCATGGGCGAGACGACAGTTCTGCCTGTCTGGCTGAGCTGGACTCTCTTCTCTTCTCCCGTCTTCTGGTTGTGGACGCTGATCTGCTGATTGAGGGCGGATCGAGTGACGACACCACTGTACTCTGTGACCGCCTCCATGGTCAGCACGGTGTCCTGAGAGACAGACAGGCAGAGAGAGAGAGAGAGACAGAGAGAGAGAGAGAGACAGACAGGTGGACAGAGAGAGACAGGCAGACAGAGAGAGAGACAGGCAGACAGTTACTCAAGAAATGTATATAACATATTACATATTACTCCCTGCTAACAGTAATTAGTTACACTACTAGTTATATTGCCTTCTGTTACTCCAACACAAAACACAGTTTAGTTTGTTAAAATCAAAGTAATCGAATATTTCCAGCTGCTGAATGCTGTAACCAATTACTTTTGTTGACTTGATTACTGTAATGTGATTACTGTAATAATAATAAAATGAATATGATGTTAAATTGATGTATTTTATTATAACAGAAAGCAGAACTTTATATTCAATATGTAACATAACAACAGAATGAGTGTGTGTGTGTGTGTGCGTGCGTGTCTGTGTGTGTGTGTGTGTGTGTGTGTGTCTGTGTGTGTCTGTGTGTGTGTGTATGTGTGTGTGTGTGTCTGTGTGTGTCTGTGTGTGTGTGTGTGTGTGTGTGTGTGTGTGTGTGTCTGTGTCTGTGTGTACCTGTATGGAGTAGAAACCCTGTCCGTAGTGCTGATCCTGGGTCAGCCAGGACAGGATGGGGTTGGCGTATTGGGTCCTCACCTTTAACACAAAACAATAATCAATAACCAATAATATTGATTATTGATCTCATTCAACCTGTAAAGTTAAACAGTGAGTTAAACAGTTCTCATAAGATACCTTGGGAGGCAAAGGCATGTGTGTGAATGTGTGTGAAAGAGTGAATGTGTGTGAATGTGTGTGAAAGAGTGAATGTGTGTGAAAGAGTGAATGTGTGTGAAAGAGTGAATGTGTGTGAATGTGTGTGAAAGAGTGAATGTGTGTGAAAGAGTGAATGTGTGTGAATGTTTGTGAAAGAGTGAATGTGTGTGAAAGAGTGAATGTGTGTGAATGTGTGTGAAAGAGTGAATGTGTGTGAAAGAGTGAATGTGTGTGAATGTGTGTGAAAGAGTGAATGTGTGTGAAAGAGTGAATGTGTGTGAATGTGTGTGAAAGAGTGAATGTGTGTGAAGGTGATGTGTAATTGTTAGAGTGAATGTGTGTGAAAGAGTGAATGTGTGTGTAGTCTAAAGAGCTTTGAGTGGTCGGAAGACTAGAAAGGAAACTATGTAAGTACAGGTCCATTTACCTTTCAGATTATTTTATATAATATAATAATTATCGCATTATTTTATATAATAAATATAATATAATACAATAATTATCCTATTATTTTATAAAAAATATAATATAATATAATATAATAATTATCACATTGTTTTATATAATAAATATAATATAATATAATAATTATTACATTGTTTTATATAATATAATATAATAATTATCACATTGTTTTATATAATAATATAATATAATATAATAATTATCACATTATTTTATATAATAAATATAATATAATATAATAATTATTATATAAAATAATATAATAATTATTATATTATTTTATATAATAAATATAATATAATAATTATCACATTATTTTAGTGCGGTTTTGCTTTGTGTAAATTAATAATTTCTACAACAGCTGATTGAATCGCTGTTTGAACCAGTAATTCATTAATAATCTGTCTAATAATAATTAATATTAACTGTAAATGAACACTGGCTGTGGTCAGAGGTCTAATATTGTCGCCCTGTAGCTCGCCACGTTCCCAGGCGGCGCCTGTGGGTTCAGGTTCGAGTCCAACCTGTCTATGTCCAGCTGTCCTTTCACAATAAAACAGTGTGTAAATATGTGTACCAGGAACCACACCAGTGATGTCACGGCGTACACGTCTACATCACGGCAGCCTGGCGAAAGATAAACCGCCGGAGGTCAGTGAAGAAGAAGAAGAAGAAGAAGAAGAAGAAGAAGAAGAAGAAGAAGAAGAAACAGGAAGTAGCAGGACCTTGCGCAGCGCAGTCAGCAGGACGAACGCCGTGGTCTCCACCGTCAGACCGCTGGACTCATCAGGTTTTATCCAATCACCTTTCACACTCGACTCCTGCCAGTACCGGAGGGTGGTGGGGGGGCCTGCTCACACACACACACACACACGCACACACATTTACAACATTACGCATTTTTAACATCATTTATCATTTCATTAATTTTCTCTCATACAGACATTATCTGCTGCAAAAATCAACGACACAAAACTGACTGAATAAAACTACAACCTGAATAAAACTACAACCTGAATAAAACTACAACCTGAATGAAACTACAACCTGAATGAAACTACAACCTGAATAAAACTGCAACCTGAATAAAACTGCAACCTGAATAAAACTGCAACCTGAATAAAACTGCAACCTGAATAAAACTACAACCTGAATAAAACTACAACCTGAATAAAACTACAACCTGAATAAAACTGCAACCTGAATAAAACTACAACCTGAATGAAACTACAACCTGAATAAAACTACAACCTGAATAAAACTACAGTCTTTATGTGAAGGTAAATGTAAAACTTCCCACCGTTCTCTCGACTCTCTCTTTCTAGAGTGTTGTACAAATCGGACGCCTCCGCACTGTAGACGTCATGAAGGGTCAGAGCGTAGGTCGCCACCGCACGCACATACACACTCTTCACTTGAGAGGCATGCTGGGAAATGTAGTCTGCTGCAGACGTCATGCTGTTCTCTTGGTACTGAGAGAGAAGAGGATGAAAGGAGGGGAGATGCAGAGAGGGATTAAAGGAGGAAGAGGAGGATTAAAGGAGGAAGAGGAGGATGTTCTCACTTGCAGTTGCAGCCTTTGGTCCCTGATCCTCGTTGCTTTGTGTAACGCGATCAGAACGATGGACGTCAGATACACTGAGCGCACGGTCGCATCCGTCCCCTCAACCTGCAGCCAATCAGAGAACAGTAAAGGTCTGAACATCAAATGTTCAGTGAGGAAGAGGAGGAACAGGAGGAAGAGGAGTGCTGCTGACCATCAGTTTGTTGGGTCTAAAGAATGATTTGTCTGTGAAGGATCCGTCCGTCTGCTGAGCTCTGCGGATCAACCAGTCCACTGACTCCAATAGAGACTCTCGGTACTGACGGTCCAGATTCCGGTCGTCCTGAGGTCAAAACACGTTAAAGAAAAAACAACGTTAAAGAGAAAACAACGTTAAAGAGAAAACAACAACGTTAAAGAGAAAACAACGTTAAAGAGAAAACAACGTTAAAAAGAAAAACACAACAATGTTAAAGAGAAAACAACGTAAAAGAGAAAACAACGTAAAAGAGAAAACAACGTTAAAGAGAAAACAACAACGTTAAAGAGAAAACAACAACGTAAAAGAAAAACGCGAAAACGTTAAAGAAAAAACATGTTGTCATAGAAAGTGGGCGTGGTTTCATTCCATCCAATCCCAAACAAGAATCGTCAGCAATCTGAAATGTTGTGTTTTGCCCCTCAGGGCCACCGTACCCCAGAGATCACTGCATCCACCACAGACAGAGTCTTCACCGCCAGAGCTGTCAGCCTGAGACGGGAGGGCAGGGGACACAGGGGGGACACAGGGGGGGACACAGGGGGCAGTCAGAGAGACAGATACGAACACTAGATGGAGCCAGTAGAATGTTATTCTTATGGCTCATTATTAATGTGCAGCTTTAATTAGTTTGAACAGCAGCTAACTGCTAATGTAGCTGCCGTTAGCAGCGGTGAAACAACTGTTGGATGAAATGTACTGAAGACTTTAGTGTGTTCAGACCAGGTGCTGGATTCCCTCCGGACCCAGTTGGTGTAGCTTCCGTCTTGCAGTCTGTATGAGCTGATACTGACCAGACCTGCACACACACACACACACAGACACACAGACACACACACACACACACACACACACACACACACACAGACACACACACACACACACACACACAGACACAGACACTCACACACAGACACACACACACACACACACACAGACACAGACACACGCACACAAAGACACACACACACACACAC